TATGATTGAACTGAGATTGATTTCCTCTAAGGTGGAAACAAGTTTTGGTTACCGGGATTTTCAATGAAGTGACACAACCTATTTCATTAAAATACTATTTGTATTCTGTCCCTAAAATCCCTAATATTGAGGATAACCCAAAATATTTTGACAAGAGAGTAAATGATCACAGATATTAATAATAAGTATTAATAATAATAATAAAAAGTGTAGCAAGTGTAGGCCCCTTTAAAGAAACAAGAGTATATGAATCCCAGAGGTACACATCCTAAAATTGGCAAATGCATGCAGAATGTTAAAACCAATCGAGAGAAACATGGGGGTCTTGATTGAGAGCTCATGCAGCCCCTAGGCATTCCATTATAACCAATGCGCTCTGTTTGTCTGTTTGTTCCAGTCTTCTGCACTGTGATATAGTCTGCGCTTGACTTTGTCTAATTTAGCAAAAATGTCAACCAAACTTCTCCGCCTTGTCACTGGAAGTGACATTCCCCCATTGTGTATCCCTGGGGTAAGCAACGCAGCCACTGATGATTGAAGTCGACGGAGGGTGGTTTTTAAATTCCGGTTTCAGCCATCCATCAGAAGATTAAAATTCATAGGATCAGCAGTGGAGACGGAAAGCACACGCACAGGGGAGCAGTGTCCCATTTCAGTATGCTTTTAGCCAGCTTCCTCTCCGCACAGAAATGTATTTGAATCACATCTGGCACAGTCAAAATGTGATCAATGTTTTTCTATACTTTTCCTCATGTCTCCCTAGATGATTTACCCTCAGGGGAATAAACGCATGGTAGAACCAGCACTTCTACTTACGATGAGAAATATGAGAGCAAGGGTGTTGTAAACTGAAAAATATCCAGGGCTTTCTTAATGACAAGTGTTTCTTTCATTTTTGTTTCATTGCAATTGAGTTCAGATCAGACTGTCAAAATCAGACTTGATGATACACGTGTTGCTGGTCTTAAAATATTAGAATACAAAAGTTTTTTAAAGGGCACCTATGGTGAAAATTAACTTTTGTATCCACTGTCATAATGGAGTGATTTAAACACTCAAGGTGAATCCCAAATCGCATACTTATGCACTATTCTACGCCATTGTGTAGTATAAATAGTGTAAGTAGTTCACACAGAAAACTCATAAAATATAAAATAAAATAATAAGTGTACTTTATTTATCCTTTAATTGCACTCATTCGACCAGTAAAATGAAGTGTGGAATGATGGACACTTCACACACTCAACGACAGCAGCTGTGCTCGCGTAGCGGAAGGGGCGGGGCTACCGGGCGCACATGTTGGATAACCTTATTTATTTTGGATTGTGAATGAGAATTTCTCCTACGAGAGTGATTATAGCGCCTCCCAATGGAGAATGCAGTAATATTCACGGCAGGTATTATTTAATGCTTTGTTCATTTATTTCACTAATTTGACAACCATCAAACCTCATCAGGAAACAAAAAACATTAGTGCTCCATTTGGGACAACACTACATACATATACTATGCTGTTGAGTGTGTAAGTGCATAAGTACATAGTGCATGAGTGCATAATGTATAGTGTGCCATTTGGGACGCATGCAACAATGTCTCTTTTTTAATTTGCTGACCTTAAAATAGGACCCAAATCCCAGTGATTTTGAGGCCCATCGCAACGTGATGTACAGTAGGAGTGTGTTGTTTTCCGCCCATCTATTGATTGACAGGCGCCATGTTTCTATAATGTATACACATGTCCACAGAACTTTTTTTTTGCAAAGAAACTGGGATTAAAACATATGTTACAAGTCTCTGTGAAGTGATTAGCTGCACTTCAATTATTTCCTTTAAAATATTTTTAAAACAGAGCATGTTTGTAATAAAGAGAGTAAAATCGCTGTGTAATTCTTAACCACTATAAATCACCACAGCCGTATGGTGTCAGTAGCAGCACATATGTGTGCGTGTCTGTGTACTGCAAATGGCATTTGCATGTGATCCATCCTTTCAGAAAGGCTTGAATAGACTACACCACAAATATATCAAATAGACAAATAGACTTTTGACTGAGCTTCATCCATAGGCTGCAGGCTACAAAAACAACTACATAGCCCTCAGACACTAAAATTGTACATTATTTATTAAATAATTGGATGGGTATTTTGAGCTGAAACTTTGCAGACACATTCTAGAGACACCAATGTCATATTTTACATATTACATCTTGCAAAAGATGTACAATAGGTGCCCTTTAAATAAATAAGTGTCAAGGAGTTTGGGTGTCTGTATGAAAATAAATGAAAGAGATTTTACACACATTGAAAGTAGGAAAGCTCCGATCAATCGTCCAGAGATCAGTATTGGCCGAAAATCACATTTCATGACTCGATTGGTACACGTCAATCTGGCCAATCTCATGAACCGATCGTATATGTTTGTTTACGCGTGCTTTGAGTTGCTGTGATACGAGCCGAGCGATCGCCGCTATCTAGTGTCTCAACAGTATGGCCTCTCATGGAAGCACTGCGATCATAGGCCTCTTCATAGTAGCTGTGATGCCCTCGAATTAGATAAAATACCCTGAAAATCATGGTGACGAAAGTGAATAAGCAAGAGAACAGATCATAAGAGGCACAGTGATGTTCTAAGCATTATATTTAATTAAGTTAAATGAACAGTGCAGTAAAGAAAATTCTCGCTCTCTCATTGAGCTGCTTTGACTGTCCGGAGCTGCAACCATAGACTAACTGTCAATAGTTGGAGTCTGGAGATGAGCAAATATTTTAATGGCCTAGCATGTATTTAGGCCTTTTTACATAAAATAACTGAAATTTCAGAGTTTTTGTTAATATGGCAAGCTCACTAAAACCTGGCTGGAAATATTAATTAAATAAATATATTTTTTAACTTATTTAATAATATAACTTTTTCAAATATAGGCCTAGTTTTTGCAATAAACTGTAGTTTATCGACCTATTTCCTTTTAGTAAAGAAGTAATGTATTACGGTGTGCATTTAACTTATGCAACAAATATTGACTACGCTCCAAACTTTTTCTTCTTAAGATATGTTGAATTTTTCTTACATCATTTGCAGTGTTTCTAAATTGCATTGTTATTTATTTATTTATAATGATTATAAGAGACCTCCATTTAAGTTTCATATAAGAGATCTCCACTTAAGTATCATACTTAGAGGGAAAATGTGCTTTAGGCATTATAAAGCTTGAAGCATCAGAATCGGTAGTCAGTTTCAGCCGATCACCATGACAAGGAATCGATATTTGGTATCGGATGTCCCTAATTGAAAGTGTATTAAATGTAAGCAAAGTGTCTAAGCCAAGGCTTCTAATAAATGTATTTTTTTCAATGTAAAAAAAAGTAAATGTAAAAATAAGATTTAAAAATGTTTCCTCATCATCACCTGGAACATATGTTAAAAAAAATTAAAACAATAAAGAAGTATTTTATTGTAAGAGGTATGCCAGTCAAGTTTTTTTTTTTTTTTTTTTTTTACACCGAATAACATTATAGTGGGCATCAATCCATACTTAAAACAATACTGCCTACAACTATGTGGACACCTATTCATTATAGATATCGCTGTCAATTTCACATTGTCATTGTATTTGCATTGTCTGTATTTTGCACTGTCGTTGTATTTGCACTGTCTGTATTTTGCACTGTTGTTGTATTTGCACTGTCTGTATTTTGCACTGTCATTGTATTTGCACTGTCTGTATTTTGCACTGTCATTGTATTTGCACTGTCTGTATTTTGCACTGTCTTTGTATTTGCACTGTCTGTATTTTGTACTGTCTGGAGCCAGCACCTAAGCTTTTCTCTCATCATAGCACACATGCTGCTGATGATGTGACAATAAAAGTAATTTGATTTAATTTTATTTGATCATGTAAATTTTGGTAAAAATGTGTGACAGTTATTAATCATTACTCAGGAAAAAAAAGAACTAAATAGGACACTTTTTACAGTAGAAGTAATTGTCAAAACAAACACTTGTCATGCTGCTTGAAAATTGCTATATAAATGGATTCGTACCTAATAGTAAATCACACAAAAAGCATTGGATAGGGCTGGAAGTACTCAAATATTTACTGTAAAATGTACATATAAACTTAAAAAGCTCTAATATAAGGTTAGTATTTGTACAAAATATGTTGCCATAAATAAATCTGAATTTGTGTTTTAAAAGCCACTGAAATACTGACAAATCAAAAGTATATTCTGAATTAATTTCTATAATAACCTTCTAAAACCAGCAGTATTCAAAATGCATAAAAACAAATTATCTGCATAAAACTGAAAGGCCACTGCTCTTTAATTTAACAACATCAACAACAACAATAAACTCTAACAACAATCAACTCTAATAATTAGCAAGACACTGGGAATAGTGGTGAGCTCCTTTAACAAAGCAGTGGTAACAGAATGTACCAAAAGCAGTGCCAGCATTAAGGTATGTGTGAGATATGCCAGCGAGTGGGCTGACGGCTGCATTGCCAGTGGCCCTGGATGATCCAACAGGAGTGGCTACTGACGGGCTACTGACAGCTGGAGCTGATAGCACTGGTCACAGAGCTGCTATAATAAGCAGCAGACCAGCAGAATGGTGTATCTATGCGAAACTCCCTGCCCTCAGGTCCGGTCCACGGATATTTAAAGCCCCATATCCGATAAAGTTTTATGATAATACCAATGTGTTGCTGGACCAGAAGAAAATAGTTATCAAAATCCAAAAAAGTCTGATCCTGTGATCCCATGGGAATGATCTACAACATGATTGCATGGTTCAAATCAAAACAGCCAAGAAACATTCATCTGGATTGGCTGTTTCCATGTTAGAAGATGCCTTTCATTTATCTAACCGTGTATTATATACATCATAGAGAGCACTTAAAATAAATGAGTCAGGCTAGATGCCATTATGCAATTTATCACTCACATTCTTATTTACATTCATACCCAAACATAATGCCCGTGCCTAACAACTCGATGTACCTTGTATGGAGTAATTCTTCTCCAGCTGATGTAGATCAGGAAGTATGTGGATGCAGTTTATGCAGCAGTAGGTGAAGAAGTCAAGCAGCACCACTTTCCCTGATAGTTCCTTCCTGAGTGACAGCGGACCGTCTGTGTTTAACCATTCCAGTCCTGCAAAATAACAGTGGAATGGTTAAAAATTTCCATTTTTCAATCAGCGGTTCAAACTCAAGTCAAATCACTTTTATTGTCACATCATCAGCAGCACATGTTAGCTTAGGTGCTGGCTCCAGACAGTACAAAATACAGATAGTGCAAATACAACAATACTCAAAGACAAAGTCCGGTCTTCGATGTGCAACGAGGGAGCCAATTTCCCAAAGTGTGTGTCTGTCATAGTTAATGAGAGTGTGTACATCCAGCACGAAAAATGACAAAAATACAAGTAAAACACACAAAACAAAACAAAGTTTGCTAGGAGCTCACAACACGGCGGCCATGCTCTGCACCACCTTGATGACGTATACAGTATATTACAAGCAGACATGCTGTTGCCACATATAAAACAAGTAAAGTGACTATTTAGCACTTTAGCTTCCACTAAAAAAAATTCCCACAAAAAATTGCCATTTAAATTTGGTTAAACTCTGTTTCTGACACTAAGCAAAAACAAGTTTTTGTTGTAATGATAAGCTATGGAGAAATAAAGGTCAACTGGGTGGTTACATTTCCAGTTAAAGGGTTGATTGAATGTTTTAATTTTTCTTATAACTCTTGGATGAAACAATGTTTCTTAGTCATTCAGCATAACAGTCAAACTTCATTCAATCACTAATTTCCCTTCAGCTTACCCCCTTATTTGTCAGGGGTTGCCAAAGCGGAATGAACCACCAACTATTCCAACATATGTTTTACGCAGCGGATGCCCTTTCAGCCGCAACCCAGTATTGGGAAACACCCATTTATATTCACTCACACACATACACTACGGCAAGTTTGTTTACCCAATTCAATTATACCATGTCTTTGGATTGTGCTGGAAAACCACACAAACTTATAACCACAGATATGCCAACTGGCCCACCCGGTACTCGAACCAGGAACTTCCTTGCTGTTGGGTGACAGTGCTAACCATTGAGCCACTGTTACAGTCTTAATAGTACATTTTATTATAAACAGGTGATTTAAAGGAGAGCGGCAAAACATAAAGAACTAAAATTACAACTAATGAGTATTTTGGGGCTGAACATTTAATGTCATCAATGATTAGTTTTAAATATGACTGACACAAATAATTGTTTTGTAAACTGCTGATTGTAGCCCTGTCATGATATCTATTTTTTTGTTGTATGATATATTACACCAAAATATATTGCGATAAACAATATTATTGTGATTTTAAAACCATTTTATGCCACTCATTATATAATGCCATCTACATGCCAGTACACTCGTCAAAAGATTTTATTTTATTTTATTCATTCATTCATTTTGCTTTTTGGCTTAGTCCCTTTATTAATCCGGGGTCGCCACAGCGAAATGAACAGCTAACTTATCCAGCATGTTTTTACGCAGCAGATGCCCTTCCAGCTGCAACCCATCTCTGGGAAACAACCACACACACTCATCCACTACGGACAATTTAGCCTACCCAATTTACCTGTACCACATGGCTTTGGACTGTGGGGGAAACCGGAGTAGCCGGAGGAAACCCACATGAACGCAGGGAGAACAGGCAAACTCTACACAGAAATGCCAACAGACCCAGCTGAGGCTCGAACCACCAACCTTCTTGCTGTGAGGTGACAGCACTACCTACTGGGCCACTGCCACCCGATTTAAAAAAAAAAAAAAAGTATATAATTTTTTCTTAAAAATATTTAATTTAAGTATAGCCATTTAAACTATTTAATAACTAGGCATTGGAATGTGAAATAAATAAATAAATAACAATAAATGTCAAGAAAAAACTGCAACGCAAAGTGCGTTCCAGATTTATTTTTGGTTGTTAAACACCCACATGAAAATATACTAAAGCAATTTAAAGTACTAGTAATACTAGTGATTTCTTTAACCATACTGACACTGACACCTTTAATACAGATAGAGATGTTGCACACTCACCTAAAATGTTGCTAGAATTGTTTTTTTCTGTATGGTTAATATATATTGCATCACCAAAAATGATCTAGTTCATGTCCATGTGTTGTGCATTAAGTCGATATATTAATTATTGCGACAGGCTGTTGTTTGTTACTCATTTCATTAGCTGTCTTAAGTATATAGTAGTAAAAACGTACACTAACGTTACCTGACAAAAGTCCTGTGGCCTATACAAGTTTTAGGGACAACTAAGAATAACTTGAATTTTACTGGATCATTTGGTATTAGAAGTGGCTTATATGAAGATTTCACGTATGACCACATACTGAATGTAACCCCAAATCATGATTTTTTCTTCACCAAACTGTGAGAATCTTACCTTCTGCCAAGTCAAGGTATTGTTGCTCTTACAACTACAATCAACGCCAAGACTTTTGTCAGGAAGTTTATAGTAGAATAGTCTCTAACTCTATATGAATTCACCCTTAAAAAATATTAAAAATAACTATTTAGTTACAATATATGTAAATTAAATCTAGTAATTAAGTACTCTCTGTAAGTTTGCTGAGACCAGCCAAAACTAGATGTTCATTAGATCACTTGTTACAGCAGTAGCAGGCTCACTTTTGACTTAATACAACATTTCAGAGCAATAAACAACCGTCGAATGTAATCGACTTGTCATGTTTTATGTTGTCAGTCTTTTATCTAAAACCAAGAATCGATCAATGATTAAGTTCTGCTCAAGAACTAAAGCCACTCCCATGAGATACAATCACTGTATACACTCCCACTGCCATTGAGTGTATTAATACACTTGCCTTCTTCAAAATCCGGTACAATCAAATCCTCCCTCTCGTCTATTTTGAGCAAATATTCATGTACGAGTTTTTCCTTCTCTTCTTGACTCGTCGTTTCCTCTAAATCACAGTCTAGCTGGCCCTGAATGAGGAAAAGATCTGTCAGCTTACTGTAAGACGCCATGATTCTCACAGTCACACTCACAACAACGCAGAAATTAGTCTCGGCACTTTCGACAAACATATCGCGTCAGCATTCTTGATAACAAAAGAAAAAAAAATCGTTTGTATGTAATTAGGATATGACAAACTTTTAAAAATAATCTACGTAATAAATGTATAAATAAACACTCGATATGTTTTATGTAATTATTCGGAAGAATCTGGCAATGGGGAAAATGCTAATATCAACGCAAAAATAAATACTCTTTTAACATTGGCGGTAAGAAACACTCGTCTGATTTATCTAACGTGAACAGTTTTTATTGATATACTGTAACAAAATGCGCTTTTATGAATGTTTTTATGCTTTCTGGACAGATTTCTGTATGATGCGGATTCTAGTCGCAGTTTTAGTTTCCTAAGAGATCATGAATGTGATGTTACAAAACTGCTCTGTTACAAAACTGGATACAAATGTCCCAGAGCGGGTCTGAGAGTGACATTTGGGATTATAAACCTCTTAAGAAAAACAAAAAACGAAGCTGTAAATCACAAGGATCAAGAGAACATGTGACAAAGAGGAAGAAGGAGAGCACAGTGCAAAAAACAGTCAAAAGTGCTGAAAAACACACTGATTTAGACCACCAGATTGGGAGTAATGCTCCTAATAACACAGTGAACTCAGGATCCGAGGATGTGAATCATGGGACAGTTTCTCGGGATGTCCCTAATGCAGACTCTCAGTCAGGAAGAGGCTTCTGTCCTGTCTGTCAAATGCCATTTTCCATCCTGGTTGTCCAGTCTCAACAATGGCATGTTGCAGAATGCTTAGATACAGCTGCTGACAACTGTAAAGGTAATGGTTTTAATAGTTAATACATTTACTTTGTCTCCTAAATGTCTTCCTCACATTGTACATTTTGGACATCTCAATTTCATAACGCAGGGGTTTCAAACCGGGAGTTGGGGACCCTAATGGGGCCAAAGCAGAGTGCTAGGGGGTCAATCTGAATTTGTTGAATGAGAACATAATGGAAAAAATACATTTAGAAAATAATACATAAAAAAACAACAATTTAATTAAGATGAACACATTATTATAAAAAACAGATTTCGGAATCATAATATTGTAATAATCAAATAATTTAACTTATGATAAAAATAAGCAAAAAAGAAAAAGATGCATTCAAATAAATAATTGTGGAAAATTACAAAAAAAAATTGTAATAATAAAAAAAAAAATCTTAAATGTTAATTTGTACAATAAAACAATGTAGCTTTTTTTAGAAACTAAATATAAATGTAGTGTTAAATGTAATACAACTTATTTTTTAGACCCATTTATTCATTTGAATTTTCACAATTTAAAATTAGGTGTTTTTACAAACCTTACAGATGCCTTTTACATTTCCAGATGTTGAATCCTTGGTCTAAAATCAATTCTGTTCAGCATGTTATAGAATTCCAACTCAGCTGAAAATATGACTGAATAAACATCAACAACAAAAAAAATTATTTAAATTTAACGAATCATATCATATTGTTCATGTTATCTCGATTTATGAAATAATATTACTATTTAGACTTAAACACCTACACATTATTTAATGCAAGTAAATAATTAAAATGTATTATATTTACATAACATTTACTATAAAGGACTGTAAATGTCACAACATTTCATTGTTAATAAGGTTTTAGCACCCTGTCATTAGTACAGTATTTCCAATAATATTATTGTGTAATATAAGCAGGGTTTGCACACTTCCTGAAAGTACTTTTTTTTTTAAAAACTCTCTTTTAAAGTGCTTGAATTGTACTCAATTGACAAAAACAGAACATTCATTTTCTGTTCGGCTTAGTCCCTTTATTATTCTGGGGTCGCCACAGCAGAACAAACTGCCAACTTATCCAACGCATGTTTTATGCAGCGGATACCCTTCCAACTGTAACTCGTTACTTGGAAACATCCATACATAATGGACAATTTAGCTTACCCAATTCACCTATAATGCATGTCTTTAGACTTGTGGGGAAAACCGGAGGAGCACCCAGAGGAAACCCACTCCAACACTGAGAGAACATGCAAACTTCACACAGAAACACCAACTGACCCATCCAAGGCTCAAACCAGCGACATTCTTGCTGTGAGGCAATCGTGCTACTAACTGCGCCACCGTGCATCCGAATTCTTAAATTAAAAATCTTAAATTTTACTCTTGTACAATAACACTGACAAACTGCACATTTTATCAATATTTCAGAAACATAATATATCGGACATTAATATAAATCATAGGTCTCAAAATCCATTTCTGGAGGGTTGCAGCTCTGCACAGTTTTGCTGCAACCCTGATCAAACACAGTTGATCCAAATAATCGAGGTGTTCAAAAGAGGAAAATATCTCATTGCATTTTTTTTTCCGATATTGCGATTGTGATTTGATTTGCAATTTAATTTTGTTGTCAAGATTTAGCTCACTAACCTGTAGTACTGCTGAAATGCAGTGAGTGTTAGTTGAAAAAAGAAACTAAAAAGAAAGATATTAACATACTTCAACATTTATTCAAATTTGTTTTTAAATATTCTGTAATTCAACACTAATTTTTTATCTAAAGCAAACAATAAGCACAAATAAAATGACCTTACCTTTCTGTAAGTTCCAATCAAATTAGGGAGATAATGTAGCTTATTATACACACAAAAATATATATTATAAAATACAGAACACTCAGGCTGATAAGAGGCAGATTGAAAAGTTCGGATTGGGCAGAACGAAAGTGTACTTACTCAAATGGCTAGTAAGACTGTCACACACTGATGGCAGTCACACATTTGCTCTGGGCAGGGGAAAATGAAATAATGCATATATATTCCATATCGCAGCCACTTGCATTTAGCTAATTGCAATGTTTCATTTGTGATTGTGATTTAATGTTGATTAATTGCACAGCCTTTGTACAGTAAGGACTTAATGGCACTATATATATATGCTGGGGTATAAATTACAATGGTTCTGGATTTAAAGTTAATGGTGCTTTTAAAAAAAGTCCTTTAATCTATGGTTCATGAAAGCGTGGGAACCCTGTATTAAGAAAACATTACTTAACACTCTTTCTGCCTTCTGATTTTACAGAATGCCCAGATGGTCTTCAGTGTATGTCCACCATTCCCAATCATTATAAAAGATACAACCACTCTCAGCTGGCTCAGAGTCGAGCGCAAAATGACTCCGTCCAAGCCATCTCAGACTTCAGCTTGAATTCAGTAAATAATGGCGCATCCACATCTGTTAAGGAGAGTTCAGTGGACAGCGCTGTGAATGTATCTGCTTCATCTAGCCAAAGTTCATCTCCTGGTGATAGACTGAAGGGAACTCCCACTAAATCTAATGCCCTGCTGCTTTTGCGTTCCCCCAACACCGAGGATATCAAGAAAAAGAAAGGCTGGTCACCCTCAGTCAAAAGATCTCAGTCACAGATTTCTTCCCAGGAGGCCAAAGCCAAGATTTCTGCTCCAGGTGAAGTACGATGCGTTGACAGTGCAGTTCAGACGCAGCCTAATGAGGTTAAAAAAGAGCTGTTTGAATGCAAAGATGATGACGATTATATCTCCTGCTCCCCACTTTCTGAGCTTCCAGAAGTGGATGAGGAGCACAGGGTGGAAAAATCCAATAATGACAGACATTTTTATAGTACTGCATTGCAGGAGGATGATGATTCTCTTAATCTTTTCAGTGATGAAGATGATGATCTGTTCTTTGATGTGATAGACCAGTATGAGGAACATGGGCCAGACAAAAGCTCATTAGACACCTGTGAGAAACAGCAAACATCATTAGCACCAGAAAGTCACCTGACTGCTTCCAGTTCCACAGGTGTTTCATTTCATCACTGCTCAACAAACAACAACAGTTCAAACTCCCAGCTACAGTCACCCCAAAGCTTGGTATTAGAGCATCTTCGGGACCGCATATCTACTCCTACACATGTCAAGAGCTTGACTTCATCTTTTGAGGAAGTTAACTTCACTCAAACAAACCAAGAGTCGTTTTCCAACCAAGCAGATCTATCCGCAACACAGTCTATGGCTCCTAGGAGGACTCAGATAAAGGCAGGTCCCTCTGGATTGAAACAAACAGACATTGGGGTGTTTTTTGGCCTGAAGCCGCTGCATGAAAAAAAGGCTGGGAAGGAAGTAAAGCCATTGGTCAGAGAGGCCGATCTGCAAAAGTCTAGAAGAGTGAGGGTTTCAGAAGCTCAAGGGGAAGACGGTAAGCGTCAGGGTAGATGGCGTGGGAAGAGCAAAGCACCATCTGAAGGGTCCGGTGTCTCGCCTGCTGTAGAAGATAGTGTGGCTCTGCCCACGCAAACAGAAGGAAAGAGAGGAGGGAGGGCAGAGGGGCGGAAAAGATGGAACAGAGGAAAAGCGACAGATGGAGATCCCAAGGAGCCCAAACGCTGTCCATTCTACAAGAAAATTCCTGGTTTGTGAATGCTTTTTTTGACCTACTTAGAAACAATTGTTATGATTGCATAAGCGGGTATACTAGTAGCTGTACCCGAACTTAAATGTACTTTTAATCTTCTTTTATTATAATAATTCCTCTATTATTATTTAGTTTGTGGGACAGTCTTTTTGTCTAATCTAGTTTTGATAATAGGGCTGAACATAATAGGGCTGAACAATGCAGTGCTTAGCGTAATTGAGTAGTTATTTTGAAAATGAATATTTTTTTTTTCCCCATTTCTCAGTGAATGTAGGCAATGTATTTTGGTGCATTTAACATATAACAGATTTATTAAACAGATATATTTATTAAAATAATATTTTAGTCACTAAACCAATTTGAAATTAAAAGATAATACAATTAAATTGTAATTAAATTTTTTTTTTACAAACTACAAAATGTCAACTAAATAAAATTATTATTTGTTTGCTTCTTGATTTTTACTTTTTATTTTTATTTATTATTATTTTTTTAAGTATTTATTATTTTTCTATAACATAAATTTGGCTGTGCTATTTTTTGGACAGCTAAT